TATATTCTACATCACAATAGATACGAAATCAACCTAAACGATCAATTTGCTCCTTAACACAAGAAAAATAGAAAATTGTACAGATTGTGAACAACCTCTAACACCAACTCTAGCTTGCTAAGGCCCCATCCTCCTGTTTAGAACAGAAAGTCTGAAGACACTTTATGTTTGTTTGAGCATGCTACTGAGGAAAGTAGGGTCTATGACAATTCGCCATGGCCAACTCGCCATGGCCAACCTGCCATGGCTAACTTGCCATGGCCAACTCACCATGGCCAACTTGCCATGGCCAACTCACCATGGCCAACTTGCCATGGCCAACCTGCCATGGCCAACTCACCATGGTCAACTCACCATGGTCAACCTCGCCATGGCTAACTTGCCATGGCCAACTCACCATGGCCAACTTGCCATAGCTAACTTGCCACAGGACAACTCACTGAGGGACAAGAGTTACACTAATATCAAAGAAACGGTGGAATAGAATTATTAAAGAAAGGATGCAAAAGGAGGGACAGAATGAAATGTGAATGGCAAAAAAATACTTTTTTTATTTAGTTTAAAATAATTCAATAGAATTGTTAAATCGTCCTGCAGCGAGTTGACATTCACATGTCATTCTGTCCTTTCTTGTCCTGTGGTGAGCTGACTGTGCTGAATTGTCCAGCAGCAAGTTGGCTGTGATGAGTTGGCTGCAGTGAGTTAGCTGTGGCAAGTTGGCCACGGTGAGTTGGCCATAGCGAATTGGTTATGGCAAGTTGTCCCATTCTGGGAAAGGTAAGATGGTTTTCTAAAACATCATTTGGCCCTGGATAACTTCACTATTCCACATAGTATTTTGTTGATGCTGGTGATGTTTTAAAACAAGATAATTTTCAATAGTATAGAGAGTTTTAAGGAGGCAGCTAGGATTGGGGTGAAAGCTGCTGAAAGCAACCAGATGCACTACAAGAGGCATGAGGAAGAGAAAGTTCTCCTGCTATAGTATTTGTGGGATGATAGAAGGCTGGGGATATCTTTGGGGGAATAAAGAGCAACTGGAAAATTGAATCTTGCAAGTAGGAATTTTAATAAGGATGAGAAAGTCTGAAAGTTACTTCTAATTGAAGGAAAAAGATTTATGTTGTTTTCACATTCAAGCCCTAGATTCATTCATTTCTCCTCTTCATGCTGGTTCTTAGTCCAATTACTTATTTCATAATGTTTCCTCATTGCTTGAAAATTTCTAAAAGGCTAACTACACTATGCTTACATAAGACTGTTGTTCACACTTGAAACTATCATAAGGGGTTCAAAAGGTTGTAGTTAAGCTAATACAAAGTTTACAATTAACAAGGATGGTGTGCAAAAAGTCAGTCCTGGAATCTCCTGGTAGACCCAAAAAGAGCTACTGAGATAAATGGTAGTAGGATATAGGTCAATAATCTGATTCTGCTATGAAAACTTCTTAGGTCACAGAGTCACAGAAGTAGGAAAGATTTTGGTGAAAAACTAGATTTTTTATGAGACAGAATATGAAGCAGGAACAAGGGATAAGGGAAATGGAAAAAATGTCAGTGGCCAAGCAAGTAGATATAAACACTCATAAAAGTATTGTTAAATCAACAAAAACACTGTAGTGAGGAAGGCCAGAATAATCATCATCAAAAGACAGAGAGAAATAAATTAAAGTTTGGTGCTTTGGGGCACATTATTATTTTTGACTCTTGGAAAGGATTGTACCAGATGGGTGGAGAATTTAATATATTTGTCAATTACATTTGACAGGCAATTATATAATCTTCCTAATCTTATGCTTGTTTGTCAGCATGTCTGGCCTATTTATTTCAAGGAACTTCATTTGCAAATACGTTTGGTAGATGGGAGTAAGGCTTGACTGACAAGCATGGTGGGAAAAGAAAAAAAGAATAACTAACTTCAATTATCTCAAATAAAAAGGCAATAGTATTTATCCTCTTAAAGTATTTTGCATTTCTGTTGAAGTAGCATCCAGGAACCAAAATCAGATATAAGGTTTATTGCACAAAGCAGCCTTTATTAATCTTCAGGCTTCCAGAAATAGACATACATTCTGGAGTTACTTTCACTCCCTCAGTTGACAAGGAAGATCAGTAGAGTGGAAGATTCTACATTCTGGTCTAAGAAGCCTTAGTTTGTATATTAAGAAGGAAGAAATTCTAGAAATATAACTGGCAGTGAGGAAACATGATCACATATCAATCAATGTAGAATAGTGTGGAGGAAGCCCATGGAAAGCCATGATTCATGATTATAAAAGGAATGTCTTGTTTGTGATGAAGATCAAAAGGGTAAGCTAAACATTTAAAAGTGTTTAATATCACGTTCAAAATAAGACTCACTATTTTTAAAATGCCATTTACTAAATATATTGAGAATATATGTCTTCAGCTGATTTTGCTTTCCAGTTAAGAAAATAATGAGCATGGGAGAAAACAAAACAAACACTGGAATAAAGTGCTTGGAATAAAGAAAGGCACAGATCCACAAATTCCTATTTGCGCTGTTCCTTGCTTGTCAAATCAGAATCGAGCTGGAAGGGACCTTGGAGGTCTTCTAGTCCATCCCCGTTAAGCAGATCCTATAGCATTTTAGACAAGTGGCTGTCCAGTCTCTTCTTAAAAACCTTGAGTCATGATGCACCCACAATGTCTGAAGGCAAGCTATTCCACTGGTTGATTGTCCTCACTGTTAGGAAGTTTCTCCTTAATTCCAGGTTGCTTCTCTCCTTGATTAGTCTCCATACATTTATACAAGTGTTTGGGGGGAAAGCGTGAAAAATTGAATATGCTATTTCTTCTGTCAATCATGCTGGAAGCAAGGAAACTACTTATGATAAACAGATCTCTCCTTTTCCAATATATGAACAATGGAAACAGGATATGGCATGCATTTGACTGTCTGTTTAGCATCTGATTTAAAATCCAATATGTAGTTCTATTTTAAAATTCATAGAGCTAATCATAGATTTAGTAATATCTAGAATAATTATTTAAATTAATGGCACTGCATTTGATTATCTCTAGATAGTAATGGGAGGCCAGCTGGTGTAGTGGTTAAAGTCACTGGAACAGAAGCTGGAAAACTACAGGTTCTAGCCCTGCCTTAGACTTAAAAGTTTAATGTCTTTGGGCTGCCAGTCATGCTTTTTCAGCTCTAAGAAGAAAGCAGTGGCAAATGACTTTTGAAAATGTTGCCAAGAAAATTGTATGGACTTGTTCATATAGTTGCCAGAAGACTTGAAAACACACACACATGCATCCGTGTAAATATTAATGAGCTGTCAGTCCTTGGAGGTAGTTCACACAAGAATCCCATAGCATGAGTACTAATGTTACTGTTATTATAGCAGAATCTAGCAAGTCTGAAATCACATCTTTCCCCGTACGCCTTTAATTTCCAGGGAACTAAGGGCAGTCCCTTCTGAGATGCTTTCTGTGCTTTCTATGGGCTGAGATCTCTGTTATCTGACCATTATTCTGGCTGTGCCTCCTCCGCCTCCTGTCTCCAAAGGTTATTGGGAGACCATTATATGAACTTACTGAGCCATCCATCTATACGTGCTCTTCTATTCATTGATTGTATGCTTCAGTTCCTAGCAGAAATCATTAGATTTTCACTCTTGCCATAGTAGGTCATTCAAGAAAGAGTTTCTTTTCTGGAAAATTATCCATGTAGCTGAGCTATATAAGTAGATAGAGTCTTCCAGGTAATGTTCAGGTAGGATGGGCATATGCCCTGTTTTCAGTTTGGGAAAGGTTTCCCTAAACCAAGGGTAGGCAACCTTGGCTCTTTTATGACTTGTGGACTTCAACTCCAGAATTCCTGAGCCAGCATGGCTTAGCTTGGAAACCTCTCCCTTTCCCCTCAGCATTGCTGGTTCAGGAATTCTGGGAATTGAAGTCCACAAGTCATAAAAGAACCAAGGTTGCCTACTCCTGCCCTAAACAATTATCAGAAGGATATTTCTAGTGCAAAAATTCATAGAAGTAGTTTATTGTTTTCTATGTACGTAAAAAGAACATTTTGTCTTGAGTAAGTGGCTTTTAAACTAATAAGCGTTTGCAATGTAGATGTTTTGTCTTTTTGTAGCTATATTATGCTAGTGATTTTTTTTAACTGCTCCCCCCAGCATCCAGAATAAAAGTTTTGCTGTTTGATTCATGAGTCCGAACAATCAAGCAATTAGATGTCAATGAACTGTACAGTTTTGATACTAAAACAGTTCCGTTTTGAATCACAATTCAAAAATTAGTACTTGATCACAGTGAAGGTCAAACTGACTTCCTGAAATTTACATAGTATGAGTCACTGTTCCCACAGTTGTGATTTCAAAGTAAGTCTGGTTTAATATATCAGGCCAAAAATGTTTCCTATTGTATATTATTTCTATTTATATTGAAATGTCAGCATCCTAGCTAATGAAACAACTTCGTTCACATTTTTTTCCTGTTAGGAAAAAAAAAATCATGAATGAAGTGATTTCTTTCTTCATTCTTTTCTTTCTTTTTTTTCTTTTAGGAAGAAAAGCTATGTGATATCAGTTCTATAAAGCTACTAAATTATCTATAATGTGTTTTGAAAAAGAACTTTGATAAATCAGTAAAGATAATGTCTTCTGAAGTGGCCAACTAGATGAAGATAAGGAAGAGGATGTATATCTTGCCTTAATTATCTGTTATTTCCTTTCATAGTCTTGGTTGTAGGATCCCCTGAGGTGAGTAGTAGCAATAATGATCAGTAATGGTGCTGAAAAAGTTATGATCTGGATGTCATAAATGCAGCAGGGTTGAAACCTAATTTCAATCTTTCTTTTGCTAGGAATGTAGGAAACCACCAACATAGACTACAAATCCTCCATAGACATAGATTACAGAAGACTACAGAAGTGGAATAAAGAGATCATTGATACTACCTGGTAGAAAGAGGGTGAATTTTGAGCAGGCTGTCCCCATTGGGTTCATTTTTCCCAGGCAGTAGAATTTGATTTACAGTCTGTGGTACAGACTTCCTTGAATTTGAAATTGCAAATGGGGGATGATATCTTGATTTTGATTGTATCTCCAGTACATTTTATATCGTAAAAGGGTGAAATCTGAGTATCCTTTTCAGCAGGGGCATAATCTAAATTTAATATGCAATGCCTGTTTATTTGTTAACAAATCAGATGAACTTTCTACGCAGAAAGTTGGCAAGTCAGAGAAACAGCTGTTCTCCTTATCACTGATTTGCTAGCTTTTTGTGCTCATGAGGATTTTCCCATGTAGGGAGTGGAAGCAATCACTTATTCCATCAGTTCAACATGATGGATAGATTCACAGACTGTTATGATTGGATACTAGACAAACCTTTTATTCTGAAAATTTCTCACTATGTCAATCACATCCTACCATGGAACTTTAGAGCAACATGGGACAATATATACAGGACTTTTTTAAAAAAAAAATCTTCATTTTAACTTGAAACTCATTTTATTCAATCTCGGATGAGATTAGACAGTAAAAGATAGTTCAGCTACAGCTTCTATGGTTTATCTTTTTTTCAAAAAGTTCCTTTGCCAAAATTAGATATAGTAAACAAAGACATACAGGATGATGAGAACAGGCTACCTCTGGGGACCTGTGTGCAATTCACCAACTGGTTGTGCCAGTTTTGAACTGAGTACATTCTGTTAGAAGCACAGCAAGAGATAGGCCACACTCCACTATCTCGTCATAATAAATGACACTTGGAGTTAATTATTACTTTGTAATTCTTTATTTAAACTTTGTACCAAAATTCATTTGCAATCTATCCTTTCATGCAGAACATGAAAAGATTTTATTGTGTGCAGTCTGGGTGTGGCAGGATCCCAGGTCAAGTAAGGAATAATTTTGTTTACATGCTTGAGTTGTTCTGTGAATATTGTACACGTTGCATGAATATTCTCTTGATTTATACAACTGATTATTTACATTAGCTTGCTTGCACAAAGATGTTTTTTTTAATGTAGCTGGATTCTCTGGGTTAGTTCTGTCCTCAAAGGATTATTTGCCCAATGCTTAAGTAATTGCACTCACTCTACCAGAGAAAGAAAATATATTTTGAAGCCCTTGTGCTTGTTCCTCACTGAATTGCAGAATACTCTCCCCAACACAAAAGAAGTCTAGGTTAAGGATGCATTATAAACTCTACATCTTTGAGTTTCCATTTTTTTCTCCTAAGTAACTCTACTTTATCAAATTTCTGCAATGGGGGAGAGAGGGACCTCATGTTGAAACAAAATAAAAGGTGAATTAGAGCATTGAAAAATGCCCAGTATCCTACTTCTGTAAATCTGCCCAATATCCTGAAGATAAGGGGTGTCAAACTGCTGGCCTGCGGGCCAGATGCCTTATGCCAAAACCGCGCCCACGCCATTGCCGGCAATAGAAAAAAAGTCATGTTATGTCACGACATGTCATGTGACATTGCGAGTTTGACACCACTGCTGAAGATGCAATCATTTCCAGCAATGGGTAGTCTTGCCACCAGGAAGCATCTGATTCTAAAGACATAGAAATTGACTTATCAATTCTAATTATTGTTGACTTTTATGAATTTAACTGATTGCCCTTCAAAGATACCAAGGTTAATGCCCTCAATACATACAGCTGCAGTAAATTTGCAAGTTGGCAGTAATGTACAGTTAAGTTTAACCTTTTGTCAACAGTACATCTTCTCCCAATGGAGTTTCTATTGTTTAGCTCAGTGATGGAGAGATAAAAATATATCTGTATTATCTGTACTTTTTCACCAGGATCCTGTCCAAGTTTTAGGGAACTTTGTACAAAGGTTCTCTTGTGGGACTTCTCTCATCTATTGGTTAACCTGGGTGATCTACTATGTAGTAACCAAGTATATTAATAAGACTTCAAGCATTGTTGGATGTCTAGGTCCTTCACATTTAAATATTCTGCAGTGCCTAGTTGTAACATCATTTTGAGGCATTAGCAAGAATTAAAATGCTAAATGGATCCAATATGGTCTAGCATTGCTTGGGTATACAGCAATAATAATAGTAGTAGTAGTAATAATAATAATAATAATAATAATAATAATAATAATATAATAGTAAAGTTGGAAGGGACCTTGGAGATCATCTAGTCCAACCCCTAATAATAATAATAATAATAATAATAATAATAATAATAATAATGGCATTGACAAATTCGCTATTAGTCAATTGCAAAAGGTGGCCTTACGAGGAACTGCTTCCATCCTGCGACGATACCTGTAATACCATCAAACTTCCATATCTGCCTATCCCAGGTCCTGGGTTAGGACTTGATAGGTAGACAAAATGCCAAATCCAGTCTGAACATCTGGCTGACTGTGCGATGATCCATAATAATAATAATAATATAAAGTTGGAAGGGACCTTGGAGGTCTTCTAGTCCAACCCCCTGCTCAGGCAACAAACCCCATATACCATTTCAGACAAATGGTTGTCCAGTCTCTTGTTAAAAACTTCCAGTGTTGACTTCCGGTTTCGGATCACAGCGCTTGCAGCTGTGCGAAGAGACTGCTCTCTTCGCCAGCTGATTCTCCGCTGCTGGTAAACCCTTAATCGAGTCGAAAAGCCGCCCTGGAGGGGCGGCTCTCATTGAGGAGGTCCTCATCATCCGAGGGAGAGTGGCAGCTTCTTCCACGGCCTGAGATTGCTCCTTTGGGCCTACAGTGGAAAGATTGGCCAGTAAAATGGCCGTTCACTTTGCCGCTGTAACCAGAAGTCAGAAGAACATCTAAGCGCAGGAACCACCGTGGCTGAGCCAGGTGAGACTTTTTTACCCTCTCTTGGCTCTCCTTTTTCTTTTGTGCCTGTAAAAAGCACTTTTGAAATTATTTCCCTGCTCTAAGAAAGCGGCGTTTGTAGTGTGGGAAAAGAAGCTTAAATGGACTGAATTAATTTAAAGTGACTTTTTTTCTATTTTTATTTTTTTCTATTCACTTTGGGGTCTTGGAAAATTTTTTTAATATTGAATCTACTATTGGACTTAGTCTACATCTGAAGAATTCTCCTTTTTTGTGTTTTTTGATTTTGTTAACGTTATTCCTGGTGTCTGGGAGGAGATCTTATATTTTACTGAGGACACCTTGTGGAAAAAGTTAAAACTGCAACTGTTTCTTTTTCTGATGGTGAGACTGACTTTGACCTTCAGATTACCATAAAAGGGAAAAGACAAAGAAACTTAACAGCTGTATTTGTGGGGGTGAATACTGATTAAATGTTCCTTGAACACAGCCTCTACTAAAAGATGCAGACTGTTTCTAATTATTTTTGAAATGGAGAAACCCTATGTTCAACTTGACTATAAACTCATACTGGAAAAACTTTATGAAGCTACTGACCAAATACGTTTGCAAATAAAAGAGTGTACTATAGCAATAAAAAACAGAAATTTTGCTTTGAATTGACAAATTGACCCCCAGACTCTATCTGAGCATTCTATAGACCAAAAAACAACAGAAGTGAAACCAACTAAGATTAAAGAAGATTCCACTTTACTTCATACGCATTCTGATGAGATCTCCAAGGAACTAAAAAGGACTGTAATTAAACCATTTACAACTCCAAAACCAACAGAAATGGATAGACAAGCTCAACTAACTGAGAACTATGGTAGCTTGGATAAGCAACTATTAACTACAAAGTTGGACATAACTGTTATTCAACAGTTTCAAAGGTGGGGACTTGACTCTTTAAAACAACAAGGTATTATTTACAAAGGAGCTAGGTCTCTAAAAAAAGAAAAGGGGATGCTTTTGTTTGACCCAAAGGATATTACAAGGCACAAAAAGTGACTTGTTCATTGATATAGAGGCGTTGCTATGGAAACCTGTCTGGCATAAAAAGAAAGACAGAATAAGATTTAAGAGTGTAACTCAAGGCTCTATATAACGGGTTTAAAAAGCTTATTAGATATGGATTGATTTATGGTTTAAGACAGTTAAATAAGATGTTAGGTTGAATAAAAATTAATTAAAGATTTGAATTTAATAAGAAGATGTTTGTCTATGTATTAACATGTTTGTTCTGGATATAGTAATTTTGGGAGGGGGTTAAAGGAGTTTGATACAGATATTGAGGGATTGATAGATTATAAAGTATAATAGAGTAGAAAGGTTTTTTTCTTTTTCTTTTTTGTTTTTGTTTTTTGTTTTCTTTCTTTTTTCTTTTTTGAACTAATATTTTTGCTATTAGAAATGATAGTTATTTTGTAATGGAAGAAAAATAAGAAAAAAGAAGAAATTATATTAATAAATGATTATTGATTATGTTAAGGAAAAAGGGAATGGAGAGACACCTGAAGTGTTAATTATGTATTTATATTAGCAATGTGGAATATAGCAACTGAAATAGTAAAGCTTAATACAGGATTTGGACTTATTTAAATGAAATGTTATTGATGATTGTTTTGATTGACTTAGTCGTATTGAAATACATTAACTTGAATATAATATAGTACTAGAGGGAATAGAGAAGGGGTTTCTAATGATTTAATCTGAACTATATGAGTATGACTTTGTTTTTAGACAATTGACTACCCTGCCACCACGTTGATTCTTAAGCACTTGTTTGTAAAATGAAAAAAACTAATAAAACTTGTCTTTAAAAAAAAGAAAAAACTTCCAGTGTTGGAGCATTCACAACTTCTGGAGGCAGGTTGTTCCACTGATTAATTGTTTTAGCTGTCAGGAAATTTCTCCTTAGTTCTAGGTTGATTGTCTCTTTGGTTAGATTTTTCTAGTTCCTTCAGGAATCTTTGGCACAATGCTGGAAATCTTGCATCTGCATAAGGATACCAAATGTTAGTGATTGCTTTACATTGGAAAAAATACATTCTCGGTATAATTTTATCATCTATTCCTCATCCCTTTCTTGATATAAATTGATCTTTCTTTTCCTAACTCAGAAGTTGCAAATATCTCTAAACCAGATAGTTAACTGTAACAGTCACTGTAGCCCTCCAGATTATCATAAAATCATAAATTTGGAAGCGATCTAAGATGTTTTACAGCCATTCCTTTGTTCAGTGAAGGATTTGCTAAAGCATTTAAACAGATTTTATCCAGCTTCTGCTTAAAGATCTTTAATGACCATACCAGAATATTGCTGGTTGATAACTCTTGATTTACTGATTAATAAAATCAGTGTTGATTGTTAGCAGCCACACAGGTACATGTTTTCCAAAATAATCTGCCTCAATCTGACTGTTTAAGATTTTTAATGGTGCAGTGATTGATATTGTAACTGAGTCTTCCAACTTTTGACTTTTTTCTATTTCCTTCCACTTTTTCCAGCGTTACGGACTAGTTGATTGTCTTTGCATCATGTGTCCAGAATATGATAGTTAGAGCCTGGTCATTTTTACCTCAAGTTAGAATTCTGTACAGACAGACAGACAGACAGATAGATGTCTTGAAGTTGATGTCCCTGGTGTACAAAAATTCACTATATTCCACCATGTCTGATCTAGGTACAATCTGTCCATTGACATCCTTTAGTATACCAATTTGAAGTTGGAACTTTCTTCAGAATATGGAACTCTTCTGAAAAAAATTCTTTGTTTTTCTGTGCCTTCAGTTCATCATAGTTGTGGTTGTAACATTACTCTCTCTTCTTTAACAAATCTCTGAAATTCTTATGTTCCTTCCTGAGATTTTTGTCTTTTTTGACTTTGGCATGCCCATATCAAGTATATTTTTTTGTATACCCCTGTGTGTTTTAGCCATGCCTCCCACTCTCACCCCCACATTGAGGTAATATTGTTCATTTTTCTATTATGTAATCCTTCTTAATATCTAACCTGAATCTGAAACCTGTAGTTTCAATCCATT